ACAGCTTGGCAGCATGTGTGCTGTGAGAAAATGCATCGCCCTGGAAACTGAACTTTGATTAAATATACTATATATTAAACAATATCACTAAGCCATGAACCATTTGCATCAGTGTTTAAACACAGACTAACTGATTCACAGTCAACTTTATTGGCCAAGTATATGAAATATATTAAGTATACAAGAGATTTTTCGAGTAGCTCTCAGAGTATTTTAATACAGATGCGTGAATAAATGTAAAGAATTAAAGATATAGCGTAAAAGCAAGGAAAAGTAAAAAGTCATTCTAAATGATTATTGGAGGACACAAAGGTGTTTCTTTTTTTTGCTTGTTACATATATTTTTCTTCCTTTTCTTGTAGTAATGTGTCCTTATCTAATATTCTCTGAATCTTACATTCCTACCTTTGTCTGTCTCACATCCTCTCTGCAGCCACAATGCATCATTTATACCGTATCTTTTACATGTCATAGTGTTTTCTTACAGTATTTTATACCTGCCCATTTTATCCATGTTGCCTTTATTCTGCCTTTGCACACACAGTAACAAACCTCTACTCCTTTATGGCATAAAATGATGTCATTATTATGGAGGTCATTCTCAAGGACACTGTGACACATTTCTCCATCAATCCCTCTTCTAATAAGAGCATGATAATTATCCACATTTTATCCACTGATGGGTTATTATTCATAGAGTTACTCCACATCCAGCCTAGTCCCCATCTCTCTGTTCTTCTTGTTCTCTTGCTCTTGTGCTCTGTGAGTCACACCTCAACAGCCCCCCCCCCCCCCCCCCCCACCACCACCACCACCACCACACTCTATTTCCCTTTCAAAATGGTGAAAGCTGAAAATAAATGTTGAAGCTATTGATTTGCTTTTTGGGGGGGTGGCGGGGGGGGGAATCAGCATCATCATCATCATCATCATCATCACCATCGAATTGTGTTGCCATGGCAACTTGTTTTGGACACTTTAGCGCACAGTGAAAGAGGGAAAAAAAGTTGAGGCAGACAAGTGTAAAGGGGGGGGGGGGGGTGTGGGGTGTGAAGGGACCTGCTGAAACACCTCAAAAAACGACCTTCAGCTCACTATGTGTATTTTTAAAAAAACACCCTTTGTTTCCCGCACAACGCTGACGAGCATACTTTTCAAGGACATTTAGAGGTCATCTCGTTATTTCGGTCTGCGCACACACAAATACGCAGGCATGCGTTCACTTTAACACAAAACACACATACGAAGCGCACAAAAACTGACACCCACTTACTTATTCACACTTTCTCTGAGGTTGAGAGTTGCGGGTATTTCCACTCAACGAGTGGGATGCATAGTGTTTCCATGGAGATCTATTTTTAGTTGCTGACAAAAAAAGGGCAACTGTTAAAATATACCATCATATTCCCTCTGAGTGCAAAAAAAAATCTAATTTCGTTTCATGCAGGGTTTTTTTTGTTTTTGTTTTTTTACAGTTCCTTTTCCTGTCCCTTGTCATTTGGAATTCGGATGTTAGGCCGGTGCCATTTGCCAGTGTGGATTTTGATCTCAGGTCTTGCTGCTTTTGACTGATAAATATATTGCCAGGCATTTAGTATACGAGAAGAGTCGCCGGGGAAAGGTAGAATTGATGCATTGCTAATAATCCTCACTGGGAACTAAAAAACTGCTTAAAAAGTTTTCTGATCACAATGAGCTAAAAATGTTTTTGGAGCCGAAATCTCTCTTAGGTTACAGAAGTTTGGACAGCTTATCTTAGCCCTGAACCAGAATACCAAGAAAAGTCATTACTGATAGCCTGCGATGCAGTCTTTTCCACAAGTAATAAAATAATCCAAACGTTTATCGAAGTGGGAAAAAAACAACGAAAAAAGGATTTATTGTTGGTATATTAATGAAATTTCCCTTTTCTTTCCCAAAGGATATTTAAACAATACTGTTTAGTTATCTTATCCCACTATTCCATCAGTATTGTAGACATAAAGTGACTTTATGTCTACAATAAAGTCCGGTTCCGGGTCGCTGCTCATGCGGCTGACCGGCCAGCTACCTAGTCTGACCTGTCTCCCCAATGTGATGTTTTTGTATTGTATGTGCGGTCGGCAAGGTCAGTCTATCAATTGCCCCTCAGGGATAAATAAAGTCTTCTGAATCTGAATTTATTTGTGTAGCACTTTACACACAAAATAGTTTGGACAGTATTACAGAAGGAAACAGAAGAGGAATAACAAATAAAAAACATTGTAAAAATGAAAACATGTTTGTTTAACAAGTAAATGAAGAAAAAGCAGACACATGATCAAACACAGCACATAGAGGTTATATAAAGATATCAGCTGTTAAACGGGAACTGCTTACGTTTGGCATAGCTACGAGCTAATGACTCTTTAAATAGCAGTGGAATTGGAAAATAGCAGAGGAAGAAGGGCTTTACAGCCTTAGAGGTAACACACTTTAGTGCTTTGTAGACAAACCTCCGTGTTTGGTACAGTGAGGTGGAGTAGTGTTGGGGTGATGGAGACAGAAGGGCTACTGAAGTTATGAAGGCAGCGGAAAAATGACAATGAAATGAAACCATCAATGACTTTAATAAAAACAGAGAACTGTTTGACATTTGATTTAAATACCTTGAGGGTTTTTTGCCATTCGTTCATGTTCTTTGCATGCTGTTGACATTATAGCTTGTTGTGTTTGAGTTTCATTACTTGGTAATGAATGGTCACACAAAGACTCCTTTGCAATCAGCCTTGATCCTTTCTGAGAAAGTTGTGACTCATTTGTGTGTCACCACAGTTTAAACTGCCTCCACTGCCCGAGCAGTTAGTTGGGTAGACTGACAGCATTTACATGGCAAGCAATATTTCATAAAAGGCCAAATAGATGTTTTTCTGTAAGCAGTATTGTAATCAGTGATCCGGGAATGAAAGATAACTAAGCAGAGGCTTTTCCAGGAAACACTGAGTATTTAATGACTGGGGAGATTGATTACAGTGTAGCTTGCATTTCAAGGGCATTTAAGGAGAATGTAGTTTAAAGTTTTAACAAGGTTAAAGGTCATTTTAAACCAAAGTAATGCCACAAAGAATTTTGCCTAATACATAACAGGTCAGATATCATCTAAGTGAATGCTAGGATTAGTATATGCATCCATTGTTTTATCATATTTATTTTAAAAAACATATATCACTGCAGTATCAGCAGAAATTGACTTTTTTTTTAAAAGATAGAAAGGGTTCATGTAAATATGTATTTATAAGCAGCGTTTATCTTTGTGTGTGCGTGTGTGCGTGTGTGTATATGTGTGTGTGTGTGTCTAACCAACTGGAACTGGCTAAAGCCCTGTTATATGAGCTCTACTCTTACTGTTTGATATTGCAAGCAAACTGCAGGCATGCTTGGCCAAGCTTATTAAACACACACGCACACATGCACACACACAAAGCTCAAGCAGTCTCTCAAGAGTCACGAGCTTATACTCACACACATGTGCGCACACAAGCACATACACTTGCTTTTGTAAGATGTGAGGCAGGATGCTGTGGAGATCAGTGGATGTACATGCTAGGTTTTCTCAAGAGACAATTAAAAGGGAATAGATAATAAGGTTATTTATAGACGGATCTATTTGTAACCGGGGCATTCTCCATCGTAAGAGCTGGGAATTGTTCTCTTTCCTGCCTTCCCTCCTTTTGTTCCCATCTCCTGCCTCTCTCCTACACCGTCTCCGTTTTGTATATTTTTGCTCCTTTCTTTTTTTAAACAGCTCTGTCATCATTTCTCGCTTCTCCTTTAGTGGATGACCACTTATTTTCCACAAATGTTACTAATTTATCGCAGGGGATCGGTGCGCATTTACATGTGAAACATTGTCATGCAGCAGCGATGTTATCAGGTGCAATCCAGGGCCACTCCTGGGAAACCCAGTGACGCACTACGCATGACATAATGCTGTGGTAATGTCTGCATTTGTGGGGGAAAGAGACAGAGAGAGCAACCGTGAAAACACACTGGGCTTATGTGCACGCTCAGCAAACACCGAACAGCAGCCGGGTAGATTAATGCAGCTTGATGTAATGTCTGTAATAAATCAGATTTTATAGATGAACATTTATATATATATCATGTTTAACATGTTATACACAAATTCGAAGGCCATTATGTAAGCGAAGAATGCTGGTAAGAGATACAAAATCCACCACAATGCTTTTTTTTCATATCATCCCCTGAATTTGATCCCCTCAAATCAATAAAACTGTACAGACCAAAACCTTTTTGCATAGATCTGAACCTTCTGTGATTATATAATGTCCTTATTATTAGCGTTATAATGTTCAACTGTGGCTCTTGTCAAAGCATTGAAACTGTTGTAATTTGGGCTCGTGTACGAGAATCATTTTCTGGGCTGTAATCTAAAAGTAAACTGTGCCTCAAGCAGCCAGTATGAATTTCTTCGCATAAAAGAGCAAAAGATATTTATGTGCAGTAGTTCATGGCATACAAGGAGGTGGATGAGGTCAAAGCATAAGGTCCTTATCTCCCGAGCAGAATTATATAAGGAATGCAGAGCTGTAGTCCACCATGACTCAAACTGGTAATTAGAGATATTTTGTTTGTGGTGCTATGTTATGCTATTAAAAAAAGATTGCACATTTTCCCATATCTGTGTGGATTCTCTCCAGGTACTCCTACTTCCTCCAACCGTCCAGAGTCATGCAGTTACTGGGGTTAGGCTAACTGGTGATTCTAAATTGCCCATAGGTGTGAATGTGAATCGTTGTCTATCTCTCCGTGTTAGCAGGGCGACAGATTGGCAGCCTATCCAGGATACTCTGCCTCTCACTCTATGGCAGCTTGGATAGGCTCCAACCTCCCCACAACCCTAAATTGGATAAGCAAAATAAAATTGATGGATGCATGGATGGATGGATAAAGCATCCACGCAACATTAACTCTTTATCTGCTTCTGTCTCCCTATCTATTTCTGTGTCTTCCATTTTCAGGTCTTGCAGGTGCCCAAACTGACCTGGACAAGAGGAAAGAAATATTTGGTAAAAACCTGATACCTCCAAAAAAGCCAAAAACCTTCCTGCAACTGGTATGGGAGGCCCTGCAGGACGTTACCCTCATCATCTTGGAGATCGCTGCCCTGATCTCCCTGGGTCTCTCTTTCTACCACCCTCCCGGGGAGACTGGCGGAGAGTGTGAGTGAAACAGCTCCTGTGACTTTAAAGTCTGTACATTTTTGCTCTGCGCCATTATCTGTGGTATCTTCTCTGTTGCGGGGAATGGAAGTGGGGCTATAATTGTGCTGGCGCACTGGCATCACTTCCTCTGACCTGACTCGCCCAGGCTAACGTGCTTACACCTACATGTTTGCACACACACTTTTTAATTGCCGAGGCTGGTCATACTTTGTTTGTGGCCTTGCCTCAAGAGGTCAAGTGACTCATCAAGCATAGGGCTAATTTTTGGTTGTGCGTGTGTGTGCTCGTTTGTGCAGATTCTGACTGTGTCAAATGTGTGTAAGAAAGGTACTGGGAAGGTTAATGAAGTGTTGAGTAGAGAAATAACCTTGAGCTCCCAGGGCCCATACATCAGCCTTGTGAGCCGTGAAACAGGAAATGAAGACAGAGACCATAATGAGGTGCTGAGTCAGCTACATCAGTCATTGCGCCCTGCCTTATCACAGTAATGGAATTCAGTTACCCTGCCAAAGGGACAAGTCATCATTTTAGGGGGTTTAAAAAGTCTCATCAGGCTGGAAACATTAGAAAATGAAGAAGTGGTTACCATTGCATTAGTTGGATGTGTTTATTTAGTAATTTCACAGTTAATCCATGTTTAGTTGTTTGAGCGTAGCAAACAATACATGATTTACTAACTCAGTCAAATAATTACACTATAAATTTGCCTAATTGGAATCTGATCATCAGTTATGATGTCAGGACACTTGTTTCTGTTCTTTGTGTCGTTTTAGCTGCTTAGCTTTATGAATGAACTCCCTGTATCAAATAAAGCAAAGAAATGCCGAGGGTATCGCAATGCTAATAACTGCACTATCTGTAGATACATTATCAAGCTTCTCTTTAACCGGCAGCAGAATAGGTGCCAGTGTGCAAGTCTCTTTTCACAGATGATATGAATATGTATGGATGTAAATCAGGGACCTAAACTGTTATGAATAGAAGCCAGTATCAGGGCGATTGAGATAGATATGAATTCAAAGCATTTTGTCTCACCTAATTCAGAGAAATCCCAAATGAATATGTGTTTGTGTGTTACAGACAAAGGCAGAGCTGGACATAAGGTCATAGAAATGGAAGGATACTTAGAGATTCAGATCTCTCACAAAATGTGAGAACAAAAACAAGGATGATAGGATGATAAGGATGATAATAATGAAAGAATAGTCCACAGAAATGATTTGGATTGATGCAATAATTTCTTTCTTTTTTTTTCAAATTTGACCAAATAAAATGGCAGAAATACTACGTATAAATTAAATTAATGCAGTAAACTGCATTTTAAAACAAAAGAAAAAAAATTAAATATATGTGATAAGCAAATATTGCATTTCTTCACCTATACATTTGTCCATATACATATACCAAGACAAAGAAAGTCTGACGACAAGAAAACATATTTATGGCGTGTGTGTGTTTGTGTGTTGGGGGAACTAATACAACCCCCCCCCCCCCCCCCCCCCAATCTGATCACACACCATCAACCCACACATCTCTCCCTGCTCGTTTACTGTTTTTATAAATAGATCAAAAAGCTCAACAGTCCAGAAATAGAAGCTGGTGGGATGACTTAATGCTCATTTCCATATGAAAAAGATTCACTGCAGTCGAATCAGATGGCTCATTATTATGTCTAAGCACGTAAGATGCAACATAGGAAAACTTTGAAAGACCCATATAGAAATCAGCATGATTAAGCAAAGTGTGAAAGTGCCTTTGGAGCATATGGAAATCCACCCATTCATCCATTTTCTTAACTACTTACTCAACTGGAGTTCATTCTAATAGTAATAAGGCAAGAAGGAGAGTACACCCCATGCAGGTCACAGGTTTGTGCACATTTATTTAATCATGTCCATGACAAGGTCAGCTGCAGTAGATGCAATAATTTGCTCTTCGTCTTTTTCAGATGCTTTAGTGCTTTGCTGCATTAGTGTGTGAAGAAACGTCATTTCAGTACCATGGACAGCTACTCACTGACCGTGTTACCATCAGTGTCTTGCCAAGCAGGATAAGAAAAGGGAAGGGAAACTACTGCAGGACTATTTGATGATTTAATAATGTTCTTTAAAAATAACAAAGTACTATTGAATTGCTTTAGATCAGATGAGTGTTTTTATTCATTTTGTTCTGAAAAGCTTTATTGGGTACTTTTTTGTTTGCCTAACACACCCATGTCAAAATATGCACACTGTTGCATTCGTAAGTATCAAGCTGTCTCTCACAAAAAGAAAACATAAAAATCACAGGATTTTTTGTGAGGGGGCATTTGTCCCTGTTAAACGACATAAAACTAAATACCATGTTTGTCTAAATTTGTTGATCGTAGCGAGTACATAGTGTATGGTTTTGTATGTTTTTGTGCGTACGGATGGAGTACAAATCAAGGAGGCTATAATCTGTTAATTAATGCTATTGTATCTACTTAATGAACATCATATTGATTGGAGTCACTATGTTGCATACTAGTTGGTCCAAATTGCTTCTTGGAGTCTGGTTTTTGGTTAAAGCACATCCTGCACATGTAATGTCTGTAACATGGGGTTTCTGCTCATTCCCTTGTGAGCTGCAAGTGTTTTACAGTGCAAAGCAAATCGCTCCGCTGTGGGCTTTTGAAGTCCGCTAGCCAGGAGTGTGCAGCTCAATAGCTCCGAGAGAATTACATGAAGCTGCACAAGGAGGGCTGGGAATAGGCCTTGTTTCATTCCCATATATACCCCAATCTGTGATTGCACAGCCAGTAGACTGCAGAGCCGCGTTTGAAGTAGAACAAATATATCAAGAGAAAGAAGTAAATACACTTAAGGTTTTTTCAAAGAGAGTTCATATAATTTCACAGTCATTGCTCATATTGCTCATACAAATAATTTCCATAAGCCAGTTCATAAGGAATAGATTATTAAATAAATCTAAAATATGTACGTCATCTGACCTTGTCACTGCCCACACTCTAGCATCAACCTGAAATCAAGAGAGCGTTTTGAATGAGAGTACAAGCTTCCCCCTAAGAGAGAAGACAGATTTAGAGCCTACATTTGAACGTTGCTGTTGGGGCTAAGCCTGTGAAATGCTGTCATCAGTCGTATGAGGAATAATTGGCTATAGTTTTCAGGACTGCAGTGTGTGCAGACACGCATCAAAGAGTGTTATGCTTTTTTTTTTAAGGAAGCTCCAACACTGAATAATATGGGAAAAGAAATTTTTAGATTGCAGTATTTTCACAGATCAGATACTCAAATTTCATAAGGTCTGTTATGTTAATAAGTTAATTTTTTAATAAGTTAATTACTAAGACTGTATACCCTTACTCCTTTTTAGTGTGAAGGGAAGTTAAGTTGTGTTCCCAGAACTTGCTGACATTGAGGCTCAGCATAATTTATATGCACTGCAATTGCAAAGACATTACACACACAGTCACAGCTGTGTTTATGTGCAGCTTCTCTATTTCCAGTTTGAGCTTTGATTACATCTCTTTGTATATTTTTCTGAAGTGTTCACTAGTAGTAAATGTAAATACCTATGTATGAAATTGTTGACTTGATTTGTGTGAACAGAGTGCGTCAGCATTTATCCATGTACGAAAACGCAGCGTGCTTACATGCATATCTATCTGTCTGTCTGTCTGTGTATATATATATATATATTTACACACACACACACACATATATGTGTGTGTGTGTAAATATCTAATGTATCTAATATACTTTATTTGACTATGCTTCTCTTTTCTGTCACTGTTCTGAAATTGCAGCCTGTGGCGCAGCAGCAGGTGGAGTGGAAGATGAGGGTGAGGCAGATGCTGGCTGGATTGAGGGTGCCGCTATCCTGTTGTCTGTAGTGTGTGTGGTGCTGGTGACGGCCTTCAATGACTGGTCAAAGGAGAAGCAGTTTCGTGGGCTGCAGAGCCGCATTGAGCAGGAGCAGAAATTCCAGGTGGTCCGTGGTAGCCAGGTCATCCAGCTGCCTGTGGCTGACATAGTGGTGGGGGATATCGCACAGATCAAATATGGTAGGTGCAACAAAACTGTCAAGATTACAATAATTAATTATGATTATGAACCAAAACTAATCAAACTTCCTAGAATATTTTGATTAGTTTGGCTTCGTTGGACGTGCTTACTGGCTACCACAGTTGGCTCTGTGTAAAGTAATTTTCTAGGTTCATAAGCTGAAAATAGACGACAGCCTCATTTCCAAAAGGGGATTAAAGTTGTGAAGTCCACCTTAAGCAATTAAACATAGTTAAGCTACATTCACGCAATTAATTAGCTGCAGACTGACCCCATGCATGCTGAGCAACACATGCACATCTTCAAATTCCATAATGTGAGTGACAACTGTCAGTAATGCCTCACAATGGTGCAGAATAAATGTGGTTATCCTGAGTGAGCCTGTTTTTTTTAGTACTTAGAAAGCAACAAAGCCTCTTTCATTGTTACAGGTGATCTGCTTCCTGCTGATGGTGTGTTGATCCAGGGTAATGACCTGAAGATTGATGAGTCATCACTGACCGGAGAGTCTGACCACGTCAAGAAGTCTGCAGATAAGGACCCAATGCTGCTGTCTGGTATGGATTCAGTTTAGTGTAGTTTATGAATGTTATATAGTGTTTGTAACAGCCATTTTTCCCTGCATGTTGTTTGGAAAAACAAAACAACAAATAGACAAGTCTGGGGGTTTTTTCTGCCAGTGACAGCTTGAAAAACATTGTTTTTAATCAAATGTTTCTCTTTACCCATTTTGCTTTTTGCTGCAGCAGAAACACAAGTGCGGTTCTTGGACTGCAGGATTATTAGAATTTAAGAATATTCCTGATAAGAGAAATGTGGGCTAATCGGATCATATTAGTATGTTTTGCTGCAGATAATTAGCTGTGTGACTTTTTGCTGCCTTCTTTAATTACCCTCGTATTCACCTACACCAACTTATTTTCCCCAAGGTTAATGATGTTCTGTGTGCAAATACAAGTCTGGCACATTATTAGTGTGTTAAACTTGTCACTCTAGCACATTTTATATGAAATGAAAGAGAGTTTAAATTATTACTCATGATTTTTGAAGGACTCTGTCTTTAAGATGTTTGAGATTTTTAATCCCTTTGACATATATAGTAATCCCCCATTTTTAGGTCAGTGAAGCCACTGATGTAAATTTGGAATCAATATGCACTTTTTCCTGGCTTCTCACTTTACTTGTGATCGATGAAAGCCAGCTTTGTGTTCTGGTTTGATTCTTGTTGCTTGTTAATATGTGTGATGTCACTGTCATGCATAAATGAGCAGAAGTGACAGAAGACCATAGGTGGCTGCACAGCATGGAGATTCAGAAAAGCATGTGGACAGTTCCTTAACAGCGACATGCCCATCATGTCTTATTACGTGAATCAAAGGTCTGACATCAGCTACACTGATATATAAGCCATTCTAAAGTAACAGTATAGGTAATGCAACAGGAGAGTGCTGTGTGACACAGCCTCCTTTAATCACAACAACCAATTTGCCATCCTGCTGTAATGCTAATCATCAATCACACCAGTGTTTTCCTCCTCCTGAATCCCTCCAACTGACCCAACACAAAATAAATAAATAAAAAATGTATCAGGCCAAAAGAAGAGACAAGCTGCAGCCTTGTGGTCCTGACTAACTTTACCACACATGATGCTTTCCTCTTACCCTTAACTAGATTTGAGCCCACTGGATATAATGAGAAGGATCAATCTTCAGTCAGGAAGCATGACACATCCGCTATGCAACATGTCACACCCTATACTGGCTAGTTATGAACATTAGATTAGAATGTTAAATAGAAGCAGGACATAATGTTACCCTCACCATAACCAAATGTAACCTTTAAAGCATGCCTTCACCTTGCTTGCTATCCAGTGCGTCAAGACTCCCATTTTACCCTACTGAGTGCACTGGTCACTGTTAACAGTCTAACTCTGAAAGAATAAAAAAAAAAAACCAAATGCCCAATCTGGACAGTTCCCAGTGGGTCTCAAGATTGCAGCATCAATCAACGTATTCCTCTTTTGCTCTCTATGCACTCTTCACATGGATACAGCTAAGCCCACTGTAACAAGATTAGCCAGTATTACTCTGTATATAAATGGAAGCCAGACAGCGTCTGCTCCTATAACCTTTCTCCTAGTCTACAGGTTCTGCATATTCATTGATAGATATGATTTTATTAAGATTGGGACATAACAAGATCAACTAACCTGTTTGTAAAGTGCTTTAATGTTATTGATTGAGCAAGTTAGTCGCATAAGTCTTTGTATTAGGAATGAGCTGTTATAGAAATTAACAGTCAACTTTTGCTAGAAAAGCTCTAAAAAGTAACAGAAGTGTTTATCTTTTTTTAAGTTACTGAAAGTATGCATATCTGTAATATAGAAACTGCTGCGCTTTCTTTAGGGACCCATGTGATGGAGGGCTCGGGCCGCATGGTGGTGACGGCTGTCGGTGTCAACTCTCAGACTGGAATCATCTTTACACTGCTGGGGGCTGGTGTGGAGGAAGAGGAGAAAAAGGAGAAGAAAGGTAAGATAATTTGATCCTTATATAATCTTCTCATATATAACCTGCTCCATACTCAGGAGTACTGAGTAATTTGCTTTTGTGTCAGTGTTGCCCAGCAACATACCCCTGAAAACAAGCTTTTCTCATTTCATTACCTTATGTTCTCAAAGTCTGTATACCTCATTGCACAATGTCAGTGTTTTAACTGTCTTTGTAAACAGAGGGGTTCTAAAGAATGAACTCACAAATGGACAAATGCCCACCTTTTGTAGGTGTTTGTAGTACAGTATTCAACACTAAGTGAATGTGTATAGATACTGTATGATATCAGTATTGGTGGCTCAGTAATCAGCTGCAGTATGCAGGTTCTGTGGGTTCAGGTGCATCATTGTCCTTACTCTCTTATCGTTCCAAATTTGCCTCGAAGGAGGGGCAGTGGAAGACGGACACCAGAATACAGGTAGAGTATCACCTTTCTCTGACCCCTGGAAGTGGTACAGTACTTGAACCTTTTGATCTTTAACCCCTAGTGCTTACCAGTAAACCACTGTTGCTAGACTACCCTTTTCTCTAACAAAGCAACCTTGCTTCTGTTAAACTCCTCACTTAAAAAGAGAAGCATCATAATCACAACACTGCATCTTTTTAAGTGTTGATAGATAACACATTTCACAATGCATAATCCTCTCCTCATATAACAGGCTCTGCACTCATCAGACTAACTAGCTAGCATCCAACATAAGCCCTGCTTCATAGACGTGTTGAATGCCATGAATAAGAACGGGCTTTCAGACTCATCTCATTGCTGTATTACAGAACAATGATATGAGAGCAATAGCCTTGTGGGTGCACAACACATGTACCAGCAGTAGGGTGTAAACTAGTTAGTACAAGCTTGTATAAGATGTACTCTTTTACATCTTAATATGTATATGTGCACAGTTTATCCTTTTAGTAGTGTCTTTGCTACCACTTCCGTATTTTCATTAAATTAAAAATAGCTTGCATGGAAACATGTAGTGATATTATAAAAAGGTAAAGATTTGTTAGATCATCCCTCCAGCTTAAATCTAATGCTGTGTGTCTTTTTAGTGTGATGTTTATAATAACTACAGTTCTTCAACAACAATACGGTTTTAGGTGCATTGCTGCTATAATATTCATTCATTTACTTTTTTGGTTTTTATATATCTAATTTGATTGGCTAAACCAGGGGGGGGAAAAGCTTCTATGATGATTCAAAATGAATAATAATTACTGATCAACAATGATAATTTGACAATTTCATGATCAAAATCATACCAAAATGTTGCCACACATTTGAATATCCTTTTGCATTTAATAATTGATTCACATTTGGTCTAAATAGTACAGCTCTGACAAAGTTAGGATTAAGACTTTTTAAAGAATCATATCTGCCAGATGTTGGATGAGATGGATCTGCTGTGAAAATTTGAGACCGGAATCACAGAAGTCCTGTGTTTTTAAATGAGATGATTGAAAAATTAAGTTATAATGAAACTGACAAACATTTATGCACCACGCTTTGTTTTAATTTTGCTGAAACCAAAAGGACACTAAAACATAATAAAAATTTCCCATGTTTATCATTTAAAAATAGCAACTATAACAACTATGGAAAATAACAGGAAAATGTTTCCTGTTAAAGATCATTAGTCTCTTCACTTAACTGGCTGGCACATGTGTGTTTCACTGGCTAATGAGGTGGATCCCTCTTATTTTTTGTTTAGTTTGGACTGGGGAGTTTGACTTTAGTTTTAATTTTAGCTCATTTGTTTAAATTTTTGGCTCAAATTAGGATTTTTGTTTTGCTAAATGATATTACACGAATAACATGGTTTTGATAATATTGCTAAAGGTTGGGGGCACAATTGACAATACATGAAATTTGATGGGTAAAATGCACAGAAACAAACAGGTGTCTAAATTTGTCTGACAACCGACTTACTTCTAGTGTAGCTGTGGTTTCATGTTTTATTTTATTGTTTCCCCCAATGTTATGTTCAGGTTTCATGTTTCATGTCCGTCCAGTGTTATACTTGTCTTATTATTAACATTTGATAAACATCTTCTATCAAATCTAACATTAGCTAAATACATAATAATAATAAAAACATTTGCAAATGCATTTTTTTCCCCACACTAATCACACGGTCTTTACATGGTCTACATATGATGAATCTCTTAAATGTGCTATAACCATGTTATTTCTGTTCACTGTCTTGGGTGTGCACGTGTGTGGGTGTGTTTGTGTGTGGGCGTGCGTGTGTGTGTGTTTTTGTTCATTCATGTTTGGCCCTTATTGTTACTGGCTAGACTGCTCCCATCCCCCTATCCACCCCATCGCAACTATAGCCACGGATGGGGCTGCAGGCATTAATGCCCCTGGCAGTGCCAGCCTAATTAATGGTAGGTCGATAAAACCTCTGATCTCTGATCTCTCTCTTGTGACTTTTGACCCCTCCTACCTTCTTCATTCTCAAACTGCCTCCTCCTACCGTGGGTGCTCATCTTTTGTTTTTCTCTCTGTTGTTTTGTACCTTTTTCATATCCATGCTATCAGTGCATGCCATTATTATCTGTAGAAACTGTGTTTCTTGTTCTTCTCTATATGCTGTTGCTTGTCTTGTAAGAGTTTTAACGAATATAGCCATCATGGACACATTTCTAATGTTTTTCCTCTGCATGAATCTTTAAATCAAGACTAAAATAAATAAAAGTCCCCAGGTCCATGGGTCTCTATAATGTTGAAAAGCAAGGAAGATCTTTTGAGCGTTTTTATATTGTCAGGGATAACAAGAATAACATTAAAAGTGACTTCATTCCGTTTCTTGCTCAGAATCTGCTAAGAAAAAGGCATATAACATATAACCCCTGCAGTGTTGTTGCTACATATGAGTTTTTGAACGATTAGGCCAGGATTTACAAGGCACTTTTTTATTTTCAGACATAGACACACTAGTCTTTTCCCTATTTTATATTCTAACTGACCTCTTGGCAATAATATGGTGAATTTGGATAGTTTCCACATTTGAAACCCTTTCTTTATATTCTACTCTTATTTTCCGTCATAGTTCAAATTTGATTTAATTGTTGAGATTTGAAAAAAAAAAAAAAAAAACACAGGTTGATGACTGATGGAAAAATCTTATAGTAGGTCCAACCCCCTTTAGTCTGATGTCCCCTGAGGTCGCTTAGTGAAAATCCTCTATTTCTGTGTTAGCTGGACACAGTGCAAAACGATTAACTTCATTGTGGCACTGGGTTCTCTCTTATCTGTTTCCCCTTGGAGAGCAGCCCCAGTGTGTTTGTACCCAAGGCAGGAGTGGTAAGATTTGTGCTGTAATGGTGACCTTGTGCTATCCTGGGCTGGAACAAAGCGATTTGTCATCTTCAGCTTTATTGTGACTCCGGGGAAAGTGGCTAAAGTGGAAGTGAAGGTGAAATGAACCAGCTCTGGTCTGATGGTCTTACAGCTCTACCTGAACAATTTGTGACATTTATGTACAAATCCCTGAAAGACAGATTTGGTCAACTTTCTGGCCTGCCTTCCACCGACTCCAAAAATAATGGGATCAAAGCTGCAGTACAAAATAAAATGCTTCTTCTTTTTTTGGCACACTGTGTATCTATTTTGATTGAAAGTGCAAGACGCTTTACTAGATGCTTAGTCTTATCTTTCACCGGCTGCAAAATAACATATATTTTTACTTCTAACAAGGTCTTTCACAGCTCAATTAGACTACCCCCAAGTTGACTGTATAACTTAAAACAGCACTGTGCGATTAAAGTGCACATTTAAATTAAGTTAACTCCTTTTGAGAAGAATCCAACAGCATAATAAATTCATTGTCTCCAAACTTATTTCAGTTTTCTTCCAGTTGTTCTTATGTAACTTCACCATGTGGGAGGCTTTCCCTTCAGGCTCTCTCTTTCTCCCTCTGTATTGTTCACATTTCCAGTCTGCTTCCCTTTAAGTGTGTGATCGTGTGATCTTGCATGCCTGAACTTTCCTCTTATGCATGCTGTCTCTTGTTTCTGTGTACTGTACGTGTGCTTTTGGTGTACCCTCTCTCACTGTCAGTGTTTGGTGTAATGCCTTATCTGCTGTTTGTCTTATATCTCATTTGATAACCCGACAATTTGATTCATGTTGTTGCTAATGTTGCGTGGAATTGCCTGTGCTCACAGTGTGAGTATGTCATTCAAAACAATACAAAGAAAATGAAGAGATTTTTTAAAAAGTGCTATTTTAAATGTGAATTTTACATCACACTTAATATACTTTGAAGAATTTCTTTCTTTTTTTTAATTTAGAAAGGCCCATTAATTGATTTTAATTACCTAATTAATTTCTTATGCAATGAAATAAAGTGTATCAAAACAATGGTTTCTCCCATTTTGTAGTAGTCTACACAGCAGTATGTCAGTGATCTGTTAGAATAACCCGTTTAGTACGTTTTAGTCTTTCTAACTCCTTGTCAGCTGTTGTAGCTACTAGTTGCATCACTTGCTTATCACAAGCCTTTCTATGTGACTGTCACAGAGATGTATTAAAAGTCATTTTCCTGTCTCCCTGTTTGTGAATTTTGGTTCTCATTGTTTGTGCTGTCTCTGTGGTGATAATTTGTTGACCTGTCTGCCTTGGTTATTTTTGTTGTTGTTGTCTTGTATGTCTCCATCATAGGTAAAATGCAAGATGGCAATATGGAGAGCAACCAGATTAAAGGTAACCAAACCATATCTTTCACTCTCTCCTCTTCCTCCCCCTCCTCCTCCTTCCTTTTCCTCTTCTCATCTCTTCCCTTTTATGGTGTGTAGCGTAAGCTCTGGGTCAAATGCAGGTTACTTTATTTTTATCAGCCCAGATTGTTCTTAATAATGGTCTCTTTAAGCGTTGTGCAGTGCTAATTCAGACTGGATTCTGCTCATTTTTGTGACTGAAGTCTATTGCAGGCTGAAGCCAATCCCAGACACTGTATGTGTTGGAAGGAATTAGACCTTTTATTTGACCCAGGTTTTACCCACAGTCAAATTATGTTAGACATCCCGCTCTTTCCCACTGTCTGTCACTGCTGTGTCGTCCCTGGTCTGTTGTTCTGTTCTTCTTGTTGTTTTGTTGGCTCATCTTGGTCTTTCTGAGAAAATAGCAACCTGTCCCTCAACTATCCCCTGTCAGCCTTAGCCAAGTCGCCTTTTATCCAGGGACACCGACAAGTGTCCTCTCTATAATAAAGTTTTCCTTACAGAATTTGATTTAAATTGGTGTCAGATTAAAGGGATCCTCTTTCATTTTTATTTATTGTTTGGTCTCTGTAGGGGTGTGGGTAATGCTGATTTATATTATATCAGGTTAGACTTTGGAAAGAAAGCACATAACACAAACACCATAGGGATTTCTTCAAATAGTGTAATGTGGCTGACAGTCACAAACCACTAGGCAATTAATTTCTCGAAAATATTAAACAAAAAACAAGCTGCTACTGCTCTCAGATTTTTCATACAAAGGTTTCATTAGAGGTATGTTAACCTTAGCTCTGCTGATTGATTTAGTAATGATGTAGTAGCTGCTTGTCACATGCTTATTTGATGATGTCAATAAAGGTGTGACAACATATAATAGAAATGATTAATTATTATATTGTTAAACTTTGTTAATCTTTCCATAAATATAGGAAATATGTGGAAAATAACTCAAAGAAGACTGTTTCATGAGTAAACAAGAAGCATTCAGAGAGTACAAACCAATGCCAAGCCAGCTCACACGAGGCGGTATCCATGTTTAAGAAAGCAGTCTTTTATTTTACATATATTCTATTTGCTTTCTTTGTTCTTTTTAAACTTACTTCAAGAAGTTTGTAGTGCAGTAAAAATAATGTACTTTGGGCAATTCTTAATCTTAATATGATATTTAGAATCCCAATATAACAGTATAATTTAAGGCAGTAAGATTTTAAGCATATTTTTAAAGATCAAAGACATTTTATGAAAGATTGACCTTTTTTGACCTTGAAGATGAGGTCGGGGGTCCTGAAGTATTGTGATTTTAGAATCCTCATATATCATTCCTTATATGGTGTCAATGAAAACAATGGCAGTAATTTATTAGCTCTTCATAGGATTATTGTCACTTTGACCTTTAGATCAATCTATTGACCTTGAAGTAAAGGTCAGAGGTGAAATGTGACATGATTTATTAAATCTTGATATGGTGCTTTCTACATGTTGATATACTGTACACACCACACTTTTAAGAGTCATAGTTTCTAAGTTATAATGTTTTTAGTCAATTTTCGACCAATAAATCATTAAGTTGACCTTGAAGATTTTGGTGGATGTAAGCCAAATTGTAATGGATTGTTAACATGACCTTACTCTACACCCCTTAATGTAATGTAAGCATTTATTAGTGAAGGCGATGTGTATAGTATATACTATTTTATGCTTCTTGACAATATGGGTATCTGCAAGCCTTGATTTCATGACAAATATAATAAAAGCATGGTTATATAGAATAATAGACACAAGCTGAAGAAAATCCCTATCTTCAAAGAATAGGCACAAATTAATACTTTCCTATAGTAAAACTGTGGGGTGTGGTATGATTACGATGATAATTATTGCTAGAACGCTATTTAAAGAACAAACAGTCTCTTTCAGAAGATGGACTTTAGTCAAGAGTGTTTTAATTTTAAGTAATGCTCTTCTCCTGAATCCACCTGGATACGGGCGATATACTCTGTCTTGTGTCGAGGGGGTGAAAAAAACAAAATGCGCAACCGGAGAGTATGACAAATGCTCAACATTAAAAGTTTTTTTATGACCATCAAACAAATGCCTCATTGTGATTGGGAAACTGGGCTGAAATGATTCTTGGTAATGGCTTACATTAACAGAGAGGTTCACTTAATGTGTCTTTTCAAGGGGAGAGCACAAGAGATGGGGTAAGGTAATCGTGGACTGGTTTTACTGCCTAAGAGGTCCCCCCCCCACACGTACACAGACACACACAGAGGACTTTGCATTTATCAAATCATAAAATTTCATAACGTACATAAAATATCAAATACACTTTAAGTGGGAGTAGAAATTGCATATATATATTTTACATGGGCCAAAATATGTCTTAGACAACAGTCTTTAACAGCCCCTTTGAGTTGAATTCATTTTACTTTCACTGTGTTATCTTTGTGTTCCAGTCTACTCCATATGCATTATTTCAGTTAAATGTATAGTCCTACTGATTATACCGTCTTACGTGATTATTAAAAACACACTTTTCAAAATTTCAGATACGTTAACTGATTATTTTGCTAGAAAAGACCCTTTTTTCACTGGGTTTCAACACTACTGCCAACTATCATGAGTTTGAACATTACTCAACTGATTAGGCCCAAGATATATTTCTGGCAATCAAGTACATCATATCACTAGGAGCATGTCTACAAATTGTTCTCAGTGGGGGGGGAAAAGAAAACACAATTAAAGACTTGAGCAGTTTTATGCCCATTTTGTAGATAAAAGCCTAATACACTGATTTTGAATTGTTCACATTACCTGAAACAACAACCCAAATATCAGCAATTACAATTCATCCTGAGAAACAATGACTGTAATATCTGAAAATAAGTTTTTCTATCATTTAATGAAGCGATCAAAAATTACGATTTTAGATTTAAGTCATTTTGTTTGCATGGTGTGAAGGCAAAGACTTGAATTAAACCTTCAGTGAGTTTTACGCTAAAAAGAAGATATTTACTTCTCATGTTTATGTAGTTTATCTTTTACTTTTTTCTTGACTTCAAATTGTGCTCTTCCTCACTATTATTTTGTATTTTTATATACAGTACAGGAAGTGTAATTTTCACATGGTATAAATGATCCTGAAATGATCAGCAGACTTCTAAATACTCTGAAGGTCTAGATTTTAAGATAGTTAATGTATGAATAATTTACGGTAAATATGTTTTTTTGATGAACGATGGGAAGAATAAGTGTGTCTCTTATACTATGTTATATGCTATAAAAGTGCAACATGTTTTAGTTTTCTTACACATCATACAGTAAGATGGTCAGAGCCAAGCAAAATGTCATTGGATGTAGTTATTTTTTCTTGGTTTTAAGTCTAAACTGTTTGCCTGTGCCGAATGGTACTGGTGCGAGTAGCACACCTGGGTGTTAAGTGAAGTCCCTCTTCCTCCTCATTTTATTGGTCTAATCTCCTTATCTAACACTGGTGCTGTCTGTTTTTTGTTGTTTTTTTATTGTTGTGTTTACAGTGAAGAAGCAGGATGGAGCAGCTGCCATGGAGATGCAGCCTCTAAAGAGTGCTGAAGGTGGAGAGGCTGATGAGAAAGAGAGGAAGAAAGTGTCAGCTCCGAAGAAAGAGAAGTCTGTGCTGCAAGGGAAGCTGACCAAACTGGCTGTCCAGATTGGCAAAGCAGGTACAACAAATTGCACACAGACAAGTCTATCATTCAGTCACGCAGATAGATCCTGGGAAAAAAGAGGCACTAAACCATCATCCTGTCCATCAAAGTTGCACAGATAAGACTGCTTTTTATTTGTTTGAAGCAATCAAAGGAGTTTAGAAGAAACCTAAGGTATCTGAATTACAGAGCTCTGGAAGAGTGTGTTCAGTGTTTTGTTTTGTTTTTCCCCTCTGCCCTTGAGAAACTGCTGAATCATTGTACTAGTAGAAACAGAGATTTTGTCATGCTGGTCGCCCAGTTTTGCAATGTTACACACAATATCATAAAATGTTGTTTCTAATATAATTTAGGGTAGGGTTTAGGCCACTGAGGAGCTGATGTGAGGCACATTTGCAGCATGTGAGTCCTTTCAAATGAAGGTAACACATCGAGAAAACAGGACCAGTGTGAATATCGTAATTTGCTTTTCTTAATCTGCCGCGTTTTCTCAGAAATCTTTAACCTTTAGTGCACCAAATAATACCTGTTTTTAAATAACTGTTTGATTTTTCTCCCAGACATTCATATACCACGACAGGCCTGCTTGGGTAACAAGTGACTGCATAAATGTTTTAGTTCCAGCTTCATCAAAATAAATGAGATTTCCCTTTACACAATCAGCTCACTATATTGGGCCAGCCATTTTGAGTAGGGATTCAAATCTGTTACTGCCTGCAGTGCAAAGGTAATCCACAAGTGGGCAGATTGTTGGGAAGTATTAATTATGTTGATAACATACAGGCCTCGAAAGCTTGAGTGTACAAATGGTGCTTCTGTCCTTAAAAGCTGTTTAGGAAGTTAAGTAAACACAGCTTCCAGTGTGCTCTAGTTCTTATTTCTCCTTGTAAAGAGTTGAAGGTTTACAGCTTCAAGAAGTCCCTGTTTCTACAGTGTGCTGTTACATCAAACTGTTGGCCTGAGTGATGGAATGAGGACACTGTGTCAGAACAGTGAAATACCAAGGATGGATTAGCATACAAGCAGTGCTTGTAAGATCATGTGGCATATTGGGGAAAATACTGGAACTTCAGCATCTGTGTGTCTTAAAAAGCCACACCCAAAATGTAGCTATTAGCTGTCCTCCTTTAACAAGCTGAGAAAGAATAAAGACTGCAAATAGTTGCTTTTATTAACATTTAACTTTCATAATTAGATAGTTATGGCCATTAAAACATGCCCAAAGTTTATAATAATGAGATAAGCATGTAAACATATATAAATATGTGAGCCAAATGCACAGCCTTCAGTACATAGAAAATGATCCAATGCTCTTAATTATGTTTGCGACAAGCTGCCCCAAAACTGTGGTTTTCTTGATCAATTTATGTATATGTTCTTGCATGACAAGCACCATATAATTAGTATTTTAATGTACTCCAACATACAAACAGTCAACTATGCATGGAGATATACAGTTCTCAGGAATACAGTTTTACCAGCTATGATACCATCAATGTTTCTGACAGCATACATTTTCCACTTCAGTAAGCTTTTCAGCACATGCCTATTAAAAGGGGCTCGTTTTGATAAAGATATATTAGATGTATCAGTCATGAAAATATTATGTCAGCCCAAGCAGGCAATGAGGACAAACGGTGTACCAAATGGAGTCATCCAACTGTTTTTATTTATTTCATTAAATGTTTATGCTGACAAACAGGGCATACCACGCCTCAGTATGATTCCCAGTATTGACCAATCATAAGTAAATGTTCTTTTAGGAATGGGGGAATTAAAGAACCAGTAGCCAAGGCTAGGCTGGAGGGCTGAAGGGCTGAAGGGATCCACAAAAATGTTCTCAACCCTCATAAATATGAAGCAATAAGTTTGAGTAAAATGCAACTGAAATATATAAAGTTAAAGGTTTATTTATTCGTATAACTGTCATTATGGAAAATTCCATTTTCATTAAGGGAAATATGTTTGGTATAACATCAGTGTTTACCAGTCAAGTTAATTTATTTTGACCAGATTTGACCAAATTAAAATTATTGTTTTACATTTTACTCATGTAACTAAATTGCATGGAGATTTTTCATGCAATCAAATTACTTAAAGTCAGCATTTTCAGCATAAATATTTCTGAGTGTAAGCAGCATGAAATGCTGTAATTGCAATATAGACTTTTTTTTTTAAAACTGTGACTCAGCTGAGTTAGTGTACCAGAATAAAAAAAAAAGTTTATTAAAGTTGGAAAAATTACAACTCCTACAACATAATTACGTTCCCCTCCCATAGGTGCATGAATGAAATCCATCTCCATTATTCAGTTAGGTTTAAGTTACAGCTTTTTCCTACCCTAGCTTTTTTGTTTTTTGAACATTTATCATCTTGCAGTTCCTGCATTCAGGTAATTCATCTTAACCAGCATATTTATCATTTCAGTTTTTTTCAGCAGCAGGCAGTTTAAAGTAATAAAAATGTCATAGATTTTGGAACCACCCTTTTAGTTCCTGGCAATAACAGCTTGTCAGATCTGGCAATAAGGTGCTTTGGCTGTCAAACCTGTGTTTCACTATGTGTTTGCCACACAGAGTTTAGCTTAACAGTGATTACTGAGTGAAAATTGAGCACTGGAAAAGGGAGGGTAGCTTGCTCACCTAGCTAGACCTCACTGATCAGTCAGAGTTTTCCTGACACTGATACACATTAATATAACATATATTATTCCTTTGATAAATTATTTTATCTATGAATTTAGTCAACTCAGATTTTAGGCAACTCACAGCAACAACACACTGAGTTAAGTCCCGTGTGTGGCCATTCTCTGTGGAGTCATCATAAAGCGCTTGGTACTAGGAAGGACTTGAGCTGCTCACCACATGCCGCACTGATGGATCGAGTAAGCAAACTGAGTAACCGGATTTGTCCACAGTCATCAGTAAAGTGTAGAAAAGCGATTCTCTGCTTAGACTCCTGTATCAAACTGTTCCCCTCTATAGTTTTGTTTGATTACATGCCTCACTTTGCCATTCCTTTCCTCAGTTAATACTCGCCGTACTTTTCACCAGGTTTGCTCATGTCAGCCATTACAGTCATCATCCTGGTCCTGTACTTTGCCATTGACAACTTTGTGATGCAGAAGCACCCTTGGATGCCTGAGTGCACTCCTATCTACATCCAGTACTTTGTCAAGTTCTTCATCATTGGTGTAACTGTTTTGGTGGTGGCTGTCCCAGAGGGACTGCCGCTGGCTGTCACCATCTCCTTGGCTTATTCTGTTAAGGTAAGGTAACTTTTAAGCATTGTAAGACTCCATGGTCTCACATTTGTCATTAATAGATTTGTTATGTAGTTAGATATTGTTGTTTTTCTTTGTCTTTGCATATGCAAATGTGTGCACCTTTCACAGAGATGAGACTTGCATGCATACTTGAGGATTCAGGGCAATTAATTCTCCCAGCTGTGTTAATGTGCTTATTTTATTCACAGCGGCAAATATGTAAATAATTCAATTAAGTCTGACTGTGCAAAGAATTACATTTTTTTTGAATGACATGAATCAAATTAAAATGTTATATGTACCGACATGCATGGTGGCCATTTTTGCCACTGAAAGTTAAGCAGTGTGAGGCTCGGGATAGGCACTTTATTGAAAAAAAAATACTTTAAAATGGACCACATTGTTTTCTACCAACAGAAAATGATGAAAGACAACAACCTGGTGCGTCACTTGGATGCATGTGAAACAATGGGCAACGCTACAGCCATCTGCTCTGACAAGACAGGCACGCTAACCACCAACCGCATGACAGCTGTGCAGTTATACGTTGGTGATGTACATTACAAAGAGATACCAGATCCTGGAGTCCTGCCACCCAAGTCATTGGATTTACTTGTCAATTCCATCTCAATTAACAGCGCCTATACCACAAAGATACTGGTAAGTCTTAGAGAACACAGTTAATGTATAAGTATAAAGTTAAGTGAATATTTGAATAACTTATCTGTCACTTTTAAATACCAATTCATGCTTGATGCTCTCCGTGAACCAATATTTGGGCTATTGTACTGTACTACACTCAGAGAAGATAAACCTATATTATCCTGGGTTAGCTTCTTAGATTTCAGCTTACTCTGTGTAAACAGTGACACCATATGATGGGAGCAACCCTGAAACAGCGAGACAGCTCTGCAGTGCTTTCTTTTTGGCTAAGCAGGCAGGCAGTGTCCTTGGCTGCTGCTTTAGATTCATTAGGCATTCACTCAACTTGTCACCTTGAGAACGGTTGTGTAATTTTGTCTTATCTGATATTCAGAGCATAGCAGACTGTAATTGAATCCAATCTGTCTAAGTGCTGGAGATGTTCTCCTGTCTATAGTGAATGCAGCAAGGAGACATTTTCTCTAAGCCAATTAGACCTGCATTCAATAAGAAATACATAGATATATGGAGAAACACACTCATGCTGTTTCGTATTCTAATCACAGAAAATGTGACTAGTCTGCATGGAAATCTTGTCCAGGACACAGGTCTGAAACATTATTTGCATGATAAAGCGCTTGGTTAAACAATCTAAAAGCAATGATTGCCAAGATTAGCATGTCTTCAGCCTGTTGGAACAACATGCCTGAGTAATCCATTTCCTGGCATGTAGACTCACCTGCACACACACACACACACACACACACACACACACACACACACACACACACACACACACACACACTGTTTGTGCCGATCTATTTGTCACCATCCTTGTAAACTCCTGTAGAGTCTATTCATTGATGGTTGACCAACTGACAAATGCCCTTATGGAACAGTGAGCTGAGCAATTAGGACATCTGTGAACGAAGAATCCAACAGATTTCACTTCCTACCTTTCAAGGCACAAATACTGTGCTTTCACTTTCGGAGACATTGTAAGTGCAGGGACATGGGTCCTGAATGGAAATCTATGAGAGAATTTTGCAACATTAAAGCTAGTGTTTGTCCTTCCCCTGCTACCCAAAGAACCGATCAAAAACTGAACCAGTAAACATATGTGGCAGTCATGTTTTTGATCACGTGAACACACAATGGAGTTTCATTATTAAATTAAAGATGAAGGTAGGTGTACTAATGGGAGTTATAGCATTTGTTCAAGTGATTAAGCACAGATGCTGCCTGGCTGTACTAAGGATTTACTCAATAATGAGCCTTTAATGCTGTGAAACTTTAGGTATAAACCTTAGAGGGGGGGAAAATGTTTTTAAAAACTTATTTTAGAGTATAGTTTCTACATGTGCATTTTTCTGTCTCTTAGAGCGTTGATAATAAATGGTTATCTCTCTTACAATTTATTTAGATAGCTCTAAAAAACTGCGTAGATCTTTTGCAAAGATAGCTTTGAGTGCAAAACATGCTACCAGAATGATTTTGGTTGGTCACCTGTGTCTACTATCATTTCAACTTTTCATTTTTTTTATTTGTAAAATTTACTGATAGACAGTAGATTGAATTCAGTCATTTTTGCCATACAATTACCCTTCTTATCATAATGCCAAGTAGTACAGAGATCTGCTTGTGTCCCTTTAATACTAGTTTACAGTATTGAACTATATTGCCAAAAGTATTCACTCATCCATCCAAGTTGTTGAATTCAGGTGATACAATCACTTCCATGGTCACAGGTGTATAAAACCAATCACCTGGCCATGCAGACTGCTTCTACAAAGTGAAGGAATGGGTCGCTCTCAGTATATCAGTGAATTCCAGCATGTTACTGTGATGGGATGCCACCTGAGCAACAAGTCTAGGCATTAAATTTCCTCGCTACTAAATAGTCAGCTGTTAGTGGTATTATAACAAAGTGGAGGAGATTGGGAATGACAGTGACCCAACCATGAAGTGGTAGACCATGTAAAATGGATCAGTGGATGGTCACCAACTTTCTGCAGAGTCAGTCACTACAAACCTTCAAACCTCATGTAGCCTTCAGATTAGCTCAAGAACATTGCGTAGAGAGCTTTATGGAATGTGTTTCCATGACGAGAAGCTGCATCCAAGCCTCACATCATCAAGCCCAATGCAAAGGGTCTGGTGGGATTGGTTCTCTGGAGTGACGAATCAAGTTTCTCTGTCTGGTAATACTACAGATGTGTCTGGGTTTGGCAGTTGCCAGAAGAGCAGTACTTGTCTGACGGCATTGTTCCAAGTATAAAGTTTGGTGGAGAGGGGATTATGGTGTGGGGATGTTTTTCAGGAGATGGGGTCGACCCCTTAGTTCCAGAGATCATCTTAAAGTTTCAGCATACCAAGATATTTTGGACAATTTCATCCTCCAACTTATTATTGGGAACAGTTTGAGGAAGGTCCCTTCCTGTTTCAACACCAGTGCACAAAGCAAGGTCCATAAAGACATAGAGGAGCAAGTTTGGCCAGCGCAAAGTCTTGACCTCAACCCCATAAAGCACCTTTGGGATTTGAGACAGCGAGCCAGGCCTTCTTATCCAACATCACTGTCTGACCTCACAAATGCTCTTCTGGAAAAATGATCAAAAATTCCCATAAATGCACTCTGAAACCTTGTGGAAATCCTTCCCAGAAGAGTTGAAGTTGTTATAGCAGCAAAGGGTGGGCCAACATTATATTAAATCCTACAGAGTAAGAATGAGATGTCACTCGTGTGCAAATGGCAAATGAATATTTCTTTTTTGTCACAGCCACAGGCTGCATTTCAATCTGCACTCAGTATATAAATGGTCCTTTGATTTGCTCAGTAAGTATTACATTTCCACATTAACTCCACTTCTCAAATACCAAATAATGATACTGCATTTGACCAGGACCCAAACCTGTGTTGTAATTAAGACCACTTAAGCGTAATCTAAGCAGGCTTGAGACTGAGTTAGACTGAATCAAAATCAGGTCATTTCCAATTTTAAGCACTGTAAAGTTTCTGACATTGTTAACTGTTTGTTTGTGTGTGTGTGTGTTTTTTTATAATCACTGTCAAATGTAATGGAGCTTTAGTTTTAGAAAAACTTTCAATTACATAGGAACAGGACATTCTTGTGGTTCCAGTTTAATACTGTGTGTTCTGAACAGATTACGGTTTGTTTTCTTTCAGCACAAACTGATGAGGTAAATTAGTCCAAACCTGTCAATATTTGCTAGAATTGTGATTACCACTCTGAAAAAAAAACCATGATTAATTAAAAGCCCTCACATGAGAGGATTGCATATTTTCTCATAGCTTTGCATATAACTACAATTTAGGATGAGTATACTTGATACATTGTGGAAGATGCACTAGTGGGTCATGCAAATTACAGTACAGTAAATGGGCAAGAAAGGCCAAAGCAGGCAGACCAGACAAAAAAACAAACAAACTTAAGAGGAGACTGAGACCTCAATCCTGTCACAGTAACTAAGAGGGGGGGAAAACAGCAAGTCTTCAAATGCGGGTGAATATTTCTTGTCACATACAGTAGTAAACAATGAGAGTGAGGTTGACTTAGTTTCCTTTTCCCACAGCATATTTCTACTAAGATGTACCACAGTTACAAGATGTTATCCCTTAGAAAAATCTGGAGAAATGCTTTGCAGCATTAGATCAGGCTATTGTACTTCTATAGCTGCTTAGCTCAATGGAATTAAGCACTGGCAGAGCACAGCTTATACACTGGGGATTAAGCAGTACATTTACTTCTTTCCAGATCTTTTCATTCGCAAGACGTGACCTCACGCATTGAAAGACAAATCAAACTTAATGATACTAACTTACATACCTTTAAGTTCGTAACTTGCCAGCTTGTGTAAATACAGGATCGTCTGTCTGCCTACAACTTACTGTAGCTAAGACTACATTTATACATCTATATCTTTATGTAGACTTAGATAAATGCACGGTATATAAATGTACAATTATAGTACAGAATATAACATATAAATAGTATAAAAATAACATATGTTGTGTTATTTGAGAATGAATAAGAGGAAAGATAAAGTATGGTGTGAAGTACAATGTAATTAAGGAATGAAGTGAATTCACAAAGCAAGATACAGCAGGAAGCTTTTCTGAGGAATATTTAGTCCAACCTTCTTTGCCTCCCCCAGCCGCCCCCACTCCCTCAGCACCACTCCAGGCCTGCAGTATGCTGGCTGGTGTGTTCTTATATAAGAGGCCAATCCTGTGGGAAGCCAGGATAGCTATGGAAGTCTTTGATGGCCACCACACAAAGGCAAAGAGGCAGGCTTTGATACTCATATCAGTCCCCCTATTGCCTCTCTGGCGTCATAATACAGCCACTGGTATAGCTCTGGTTCATCGGTCAGCACATACAGATTGCTGTATAAAGTGGAAAAGCCTCTTACTCAAGGGAGGAAGTTCGTACGCACTTACACAATGAAACCCTGCACATGGACAGTCACACATGCTCATTGATCTGGCTTGCATTCATGTTTTCAAAGTATTCATTAATGCATACTGTAAATACATCTTGGTTGCCTTGGATGTCTCTTGCGGGCAATGACATCAATACACAAACGTCATTTCCAAGAACATGCATCATCCCTAGTGGCAATACCTGCAAAGGACTGGAATTTTCTTTTTGTCCTTTACCTTTTGTTCTTTTAGTTTTTCATTAGGTGTTTGAAATATTAACATAGTCTGTAATGTACAGGAAGGCTGTGTGTAGACACTTGTGAAGGGGCATACATATATATGACACACACATCTGTCATTTCAGGGATAGTGACATTGTAGGAGGTATTGAGATCACAGGTGTTTATTCGCGCAGCACAGTGGTGTGTGTTTAGCATGGTTGTGTGAGTGTCCTGGGAGCTCAGTTTCATGTAGCTTCAACCACCTGCTCAGGTCATTATTCCGGTCAGGGACAAGAGAGGTAGATAATGCTCCCGTACAAACAAAAAGAGGACAGAAATAAAACTCTGAAGTA